GTCAGAAGTCAAAACACTCAAAAGAAACTGCAGGGCAGCAGAAAGGAGATGGAGGAAAAATAAAAATGTAATTAACCATCAAATACTCTGAGAGCAACTTAAAATGTACAATAATACATTAAGGAACTCAAGAAATTCATACTTCGCCAAAATAATCAGTAATAACAAAAATAATCCCAAGGTCCTCTTTTCCACCATAGATCATTTATTTAACCCTGATTTTAAAAGCTCCCAAAGAAGCCCACAGACTCGCTCTGTGAGCAGTTTGCAGACCACTTCAGGGGAAAGATCAGCGCCATCAGATCTGATATTTTATCTAATCGCGATATGATTGTAAACACATCTGAGGGCTCGATTGTACCTGAGGAGACACTGGACAGCTTTGTCCTGGTTAATGCTGAGAACCTTCAGAAAGTTTTCTCCACAGTGAGACCCACCACATGTCTTTTAGATCCAATCCCTTCTTCACTCTTTAAAACACTTTATGGATTTTTTGAGGCTGAGCTTTTATACATGATGAATTGCTCTCTTCAGTTGGGTGTCTTCCCTGCTGCCTTTAAAACGGCGGTGCTGAGGCCCCTTCTGAAGAAGAGCAATTTGGATTGTAATGATTTTAATAACTACAGACCTGTATCCAACTTACCATTTTTAAGTAAAATCTTAGAAAAACTTGTTTTTACTCAGATTACTGATTTTCTCAATGATAGACAGATCCTGGAGATATTCCAGTCTGGATTTAGGGTGAACCACAGCACAGAGACGGCTCTCCTAAAGGTTTTAAATGATCTTAGATGTAACTGGGACGCCCAAAAGCTCTCAGTCCTGGTGCTGCTGGATCTAAGCGCAGCCTTTGATACAGTAGACCACGCTATTCTTTTAAACAGACTGAAACACATGGTGGGCCTCTCTGGTGCTGTACACAACTGGTTCACTTCCTATCTCTCTGACAGATCTTTTATGGTGAGTATGGATACATGCTCCTCTAAGATCCATAAAATGACATGTGGTGTGCCTCAAGGGTCGGTTCTAGGCCCTGTACTTTTTAATTTGTATATGCTCCCTCTCGGCGGTGTCATCAGGAGGCATGGAGTGAACTTCCACAGTTACGCTGATGACACGCAGCTGTACATCTCCGTGTCTCCTGATGACACCAGACCAATGGATGCCCTTTTTAACTGTATCTTGGATATAAGATCTTGGATGGCAGAAAACTTTTTACAGCTTAACCAGGACAAAACTGAAGTTTTAATCGTCGGTCCTGAGGCTCAGAGAGAGAAACTCTTGTCTAAATTAGAGGCATTTTCACTATGTCCTTCGCTACAAGTGAAAAACCTGGGTGTTATTTTTGACTCTGAGCTTGGTTTTATCCCACATGTTAAACATGTAACCAAAATTGGATTTTATCATCTAAAAAATATAGCCAGAGTCCGCCCTATTCTCTCTCGGGCCAACACGGAGATGCTGATGCATGCTTTTATTACCAGTCGCATTGATTACTGTAATGCCCTGCTCTCTGGTCTTCCTAAGAAGAATATTTCAACTTTACAACTCTTGCAAAACTCGGCAGCTCGTGTGCTGACGAAGACCAGAGGGCGGGCCCACATTACACCGGTTTTAGAATCGCTGCACTGGCTCCCCGTGTGTTTCAGGATCGATTTTAAAGTTCTTTTATTGGTTTTTAAATGTCTTAATGGTCTTGGGCCTTCTTATCTCTCAGATCTGCTTTTACCATACGAACCCTCGCGGACCCTGAGGTCCTCTGGTACTGGCCTTTTGATTGTCCCTAAAGTCAGGACACATACTCACGGAGAGGCAGCTTTTCAGTGGTATGGTCCTCGTCTGTGGAACAGCCTGCCGGAGGAGCTCAGGGCCGCAGAGAACGTACATGTTTTTAAGAACAGGCTCAAGACCCACCTTTTTAATTTAGCTTTTACTTAGCGTTTATTTATTTTATGCTTATTTATTCTATCCTGTTATTCTATTATTAATTTAGGCTTTACCTAATATTTATTGATTTTATTCTTATTCATTTTTTAATCTTCTTACTCTATTTATATTTATATTTATATTTATATTTATATTTATATTTATATTTATATTTATATTTATATTTTATTCTTATTCATTTTTTAATCTTCTTACTCTATTTATATTTATATTTATATTGTATCCTGTTCTTATTTATTTTATCATTTTACCCTGTATATATCCTATTGTGTCATATCTCCAGTGTTTCCTCGGAGGGCGCTCTCTGCACCGGGGCTGTGATCGACCGTGGCTGCTGGGTCTCTGGGGGTCCTCTCAGCCTGGCTGGGGGGCTCCTTTGCCTCCCTCCTGCTGTGTGCCCAGCCTGGAGGCTGCGGTCTGTGACCGGCTCCCGGTGCAGACGGCTCCCTGTGATAGTGTTTCCTCACTTGACTCATGTGAACCCAGCCCAATTTTACTCTTTAAGTGTGCGCGTGTGTGGGTGTGGGTGGTATGTGTGTATTCACATCATTTATGTTAATGAGAGTGTGGGGAGTGAGTTGGAGGGTGGGGTGGGCTGCTTTTAACTATGTAAAGCACTTTGTGCTACATTTTTTTGTATGAAAAGTGCTTTATGAATAAAGACTGATTGATTGATTGATTGATTGATGAACTGTTAATAGTAAGCTATAATACTTTTTCCTTTGGGAACCATCTGTGCAGTCTGCAGTCTGTGAAGAAAGATGTTGAATCTATTTATTTTTTCTTGAAAAATAATTTATTTCTGTGCATTTTTTTTCACACTGCATCAAATTAAAGTTGATTACGTCGATTAAGCATCATGAGGTGGAGGGTGGGGGTGGTTCCCTATTTTTTTTTTATTTTTTTGCTGGGAGTTTGCAACCCTATTAGTTAGGTTGCTTACTCTTTAAAATACCAGAATAGGGAGGATGGAGCAGGTTTAAGTTTATTAGATTGATCAGTTTTGCTGAACTATGAAATATTTTGGGTGCAGTGTATTTTTTGCATACAGGTATAACAGAATAGCTTTAGTGTTTTGTTTTTTTAACTTGAGTATGAACTTATACAAAAAGCAGCAAGATATGTAAAAACCAGTTTTATTGATTAAATAACACACTATATCGGTATCGGCAGCGATCCAAATGTATGATATCGGTATCAGACATAAAAAATGGTATCGTGCCATCTCTAGTTTTAATGTTCCTTTTCTTTCTCTTCACCTCAGAGGGAACGTTCCTGTTGCCTTCAAGCTGTTATGACTGAAAACCTGCACAGACTTAGTGAAACTGTAAAACTTGTAATCTGCAGAGTAAATCATTTAGAAGTGCCACCTTTTCACTGATTCTTTTATTTACAGACTATTTTGAAGGTAGCATTCTGCACGGCGGTGCAGTGGTTAGCACCGTTGCCTCACAGCAGGAAGATCCTGAGTTCAATTCCACCATCAGGCCGGAGCCTTTCTGTGTTTGCGTGTTCTTCCCATGTTTACGTGGGTTTAAAGCTTCAGACTCACACGTGCAGCCATCACCTCAGAGATAAACAGCAGCACTGAGTTGCTCAGCCTTAAATAATGATCACATTGAAATGTTTATCTAACGCTTTGTGCACTAAATCAGCAGATTGATGATTTTCTGCTTTAATCTCGTCTTATTTGTTACAGCTGCTGCATTTTAATTTCATCTTCCTCACAGATTTTAAATTATTTCATCATCATCATCTACTGACGTCTGATTGGAGCAGGCAGCAGTTACAGGGATCATTTCTGCAGGAGAAGAAGAGTCATGTGACATGTGACCATCAGGTCAGAGTCTGCCTTCATCCTCACACCTGCTGTGCTGCTGACACTGACAGCAGACGCTCCTCCCTGTGAGTCTGAGAAGATGAAACTTTGAGGTTGTTCTTCAGAGCTCCTGATGTTCAGTCTGTTTAATCAGCACTTTGTTCCTCTAACAGGAACTCAGGTCCCTCCTCTTCCTCCTGTAGATGCAGCAGCTTCACTTCCTGTCTTCACTGAGCTCTGGGATCACAGATTTATGGTTAAAGTAACAGGAAGTTAACGTGCCGTGGTCACAGAAGATATAAACGCATCACTCTGGGACTAAACGATCATGTGATGATGCTGGGGACAGGTGCCCACAGCAGTGCCCACTGACCCACACCAACATCTGGGCTTCATGTTAAGCAGCTGTTACTTCTCAGTAATGAGACGAAACGTGTTATTCAATCAGTCATGAAATGTACAACAAAAATGGCAGAAATCAGAAATGCAGAGGCTAAAGGCTCCTCCTGTGGCTTCTATGTGATAAACTGTCTTCTCAGACAAAGCTGGAGAAACTTATTACAAACATGTGCAGCTAAGACGGCTGCACAAGGCCACATAACTTAAAGCCTGTTAACAGCCGTCTCCATAGACCTCATTCTCCCCCATCAGTAAACACAGTGATATTCCAACCTGTTTATCAGAGGGTGGCAGCAAAAGTAACATTTATAAATATTTGTTGTATAATTATTCTACTAACTTTTTAACTTCCACTTACTCGTCATCTAAAGACAGTAAGGAGACTCTTATTTGGTCATCCTTTTTTTCACTGTCTAGCTGTAAACATGAGGGGAGGAGTTTATGTTGATGGAAAAGTACCTTCAGTCTTCTCTTCAAAGTCCTTCAGCAGAGAAACATTCTTGTTTCCTCTGATGTGAGTTTCAGAATGATGCTTCCCATCTTCATAAAAACGATCCGTCTTTCCTGCTGTGAGCTTGACAAACTCCAAGTCCAGCTTACACAGAGGAGAAAAAAGTATTAAGGTTTAAAATAAAGCATAAAATCCATGAAATGAGAAGTAAAGATGATTTGATTTTACATTCTGTCCACTCGGTAGCTGCGTGGCTACAATCACACCTGACAGCATCACCTGGAAAGAAGGCTAAAACATGTCTGTTACCCACTTCCACATCAGAGTTGCCCACACAGTGAAACATTTCCATTTATTTGGAGTATTTACATACAAGTCCATGATTCCCTCATTTTACCTCTGATTGGGCTCCAATCAGACCCTGAGAAACATATTAGGTTTTTAGCTGATGTTCAACTTTCCAAGAGCCTTTTTTCTTATTTTGTCTGTTTGCTGTTTGTTCTGTGTGTTCACGTGTCTGCGGTCAGACTGTTTAAACGGGCCTATCAGAGCCTGTTGCCGGGCAGATTGTTCATCCTGGAGCTGCAGCTGTGGAACAGCCACAGCCAAAGATGTTTGGTGTGACGGGCGCACCTGCAGACACACAACTATGCAGTGAGTGACCCCGTGCAGCAACACTTTGATGCAGTATGAGTTGTGTTAGTTTCACACACACTGCACACACAAATATAATGACTCACACTTCTTGTTCATATATCTCACTCATTCATTTGGACTTTGGTGAAATCCATTAGTTCTACTTGGAGCACATTTAGTGAGCTTTTGTACAACACAGTTAAATTCTGTCTTTGTCACATTTCTTTGTTTTGCTGCTGCTGAAGGCTCCATGTGACTGCTGAGGGCTGCTGGTAGTTCTACACAGGAAGTGCTGATTGGACCAAACCCAGCACAGCCCTCTCATTGGGGGCCCATGTTTGTGTTGTTGTTGGATGATTGTTGGTATTTGTGTTGCCCTCATGTCTCACACTGCTCTGATCAGCCAGTATTTAAGTCCTCTTTGTTTCTTGTGGGTCGGCTCACTTTGATTGTGTTGAGCAGTTAGTTTGGAGTGAAGTTGTTTGACTTTAGTTCTGATCAGCTGACCTCTCTGAGGCCCCGTGTCACTTCCTGTTGGATATTTGTGCATTTCTGGCTCAATAAAAGACACTTTTTCCCAAAATGGCCGCTGTGTTCTCACGTCTGAGCGGCTCGCTCCATCACACTGGCTCACGCCCCAAAACATGAATGTGATATAAGCGTGCCCTGGAAGCTGAATACAAACATATAGCAGGTCACAGCAGTGTGGAGAATATGACAATGAGCTCAGACAGTCAAAGATTCTTTTCTATGGATGTTTTTCAGGAGACGTTTGGTCCCTGCAGGAGTTTGAGGCTCAGACCTGAACAGTTCACCTCCTACCTGACGCACAGCGTGGGCTTCAGCTCACACACACCTGTACAGGTACACAGCACACAGCCACAGCGAGGAGCCCAAGACCTCTGATTGGTCCACAGCTCTTTCCACTTTATATTCATGATGTTTGTGATGTTGCTGGTTTGTTCACGTGTTATTTCTGCAGATGATCCAAACTGATTTAGTTGTGTGATAAATCTACAGGATGTGTTGTTGCTGTTGAAGGAAGCTGGAAGTCCTTAAAATGTGCTCTGATGTTAACAAACTGTCCCTTAATATGAAGAAAACCACATTTATGATTTTTATACATCAACAAGAAACTGAAGGAAAATGTGAAACATTCAAACTGAAAGAGTTTATTTGTTTCAGCTGCTGTGATTGATCACAGGTTACCATGGAAACATCAAAGTGGTTATTGAGTGAGTATCAAACAGAGGATGTATTAAGCTATAAGGCCTGCAGATCATTTGCTGCTCTACTTCCTCACATGTGTGGCTGTGTGGAGCTGTGGGGCCGGACTTTAAAACTACAAAAAGATCAGTACAGGTTATTAACGAGGCCGGGTTCTCTGATCACAGCGATCCTCTGTTTCTAAAGTCCCACATGATCACATTTATGATGTGGTTTCTTTTCACATCATGCAAATAAAGTTTAAAGTCTGCGTGTCTCCAGACTGTGTCCACAGTGTTTCAGTGCAGCAGAGTGAATCTGATTTACTGGCAGCTTTTTGTCCTTTCACTGAACAAGAAGCTCCAACAGAGATGAAATGAAGATGTGTTTCTATCGTTGCTTCATGATGGAATAATGCTGACAGCAATATAAAAATGGGACTTTTGGTTGTCAGTGATATTTGTGAGGCTCACATGTGTG